AAAAAAAAAAAAAAAAAAAAAAAAAAAAAAAAAAAAAAAAAAAAAAAAAAAAACACCAAAAAACAACAACAAAAAACCCCAAATAAGCCATTTCATCCTCATGACTGCCCACGGGGCGGAAGCCCTTAACTGTCTCATTGCCCAGCTGGTGGGTGGGACATGGACTGGCAGGGGGTCTAATACCCACACACACAACCATTGCACCTGCTGGCTCCATCACCACACCACCCTGTGTGTCGATGCAAACACCCTGAACAGTATCGGTGCCCCTGGAACCCAGTCACACAGTGAGAGAATCACAGAGGCGTCTACATGAACTTCACCCTCAGAAGACATCTCTGGACATAATTGTGTAATTAAAGGATCAAGAATACTATGATTTCTCCGCAGATGCTGGAGTCTGTTAAAAACATTAAAACCCCTTCCCTTTAAGTTCTCTACAAATGGACACAGAGTAAATTTCCAGCACATGCCATTAAGTGAGAAAAATGAGGCAAAGAGGCAGGTACACGGACTGTGCTGACTTTCATGTAAGAAAGAATGGAATTAAGACTGTCCATACCTATTTAGAAAAAGACAGGAGGAATGAACGGAAATTAATGAGTATGGTCATCTCTGGGGATAAAAATGCATGGAGAGGGTAGGAATCAAAGTCAACCTTTTGTAAGTGTAACTTTCATGCAGTTTTAACTTTTGAACCAGTTGACATTTTATATATTTAAAATATAAAATTAAAATAAAAAGTAAAAGGCGGCAAGCCATAAAACGAAAAACAAACCAACAAATGAAAGTAAACTCCAAAATCGACAATTTCAGAGGAAAGCAACTGCTACAGGTAGGTGTTTTTTCTACGGATGTGTTTTTCTCGGCTGGCTGCGAAGCAATCCTGTGTGAGGCTTGATCACTTCCAGTGTTAGTGCCTGTAAACAGGGATGGAACACACATCCGCATTACAAAACCTTTGGTCGGACCTCACACACACTGTGTTGTTCAGAGGATGTTAATTGTGCTACATGACAACTACCTAGCTGCCTGCTGCCAGGGCCTGCAGAGAGACCCTGGCATCTCATTCACTCTGATGGTACCCCAGTTTATTCACACTTTGATCTCTTTTGGAGTATATTCTAGAGAAAAAGGTATTGCCAAGAAATCCTTACTTCAACCCAGTAGTCACATCCATGTTAGTAATGATATTAGTGTTCTATCAGTCAGAGCTCAGTATGAAACAGAGAGCACACAGGAGGTAGACAGTTGAGGGAGGACTCACATACGGAGGTGTGTCCTTAGGGAGACAGGAAAGGATAATGCCGTAACTTGGGGCTTAGGAGTAGCCAAGCCCTTGCCGTTTATAGTCACTAGAGGATAAGGGGGATACAGAGTTTTCCTTGTGATTGGAATAAACAAAACAAAAAGGAGGAACAAAATAGTATCTAGAAGACATCACAGTCATTGTAGAAATGTAATAGTGGATAAGGGAATTATTTCAATTCAGTAGCAAAGCATGTGTTACATAGGAAATAGTATGTAACTAGTTGGTATCAGTGTAACGCTTGCCTCTTAAGATGAGTTAGGGAATGTCCCTCTGTTTGCAATTTAGGGAAGAATTTTTGAAAGGTATTGTTGCTTTCTCAAATGGTAGGATTTACCCGTGAAGCCACCTGGGGTTTGAGATCTTGTTGTGGGGAGGGTGGTATGGGGGGAGGGTGGTTAGGAAAATTTGTATCTACAAATTCCATTTCTGTAAGGTCAATTCTGGTGATCCATTGCTTCTTTAATAAACTTGGCCCTTTGCATATTTCCAGGAATTTATCCATGTTGTTCAAGTTTTCAAAATTATTTTCATCAAGTTATTCAAAGTATTTTCTTTTTATCCTTATAATGTCCATAGGGTCTGTAGTGGTGTCCCCTTTCCTTATTCCTGAGAGTAATCATTGGTGTCAGCTGTCTGCTTTTGCCTGATTAGTCTGGCTTGAGATTTATCCACTTCGTTAATCTTTTTGAAGATCAAACTAACTTTCAGTTCCATTGATTTCTCTATTGTTTTTCTGTTTTCTATTTCACTGACTTCAGCTATTACATTGAGTGTTTATTTCCTCCTGCCTGCTTTGTTTTAGACCATTCTTTTTCTAGTTACTCAGATGCTGGCTCAGATTGCTGAGTGGAGGATGTTCATGTTGTTGAATACAAACATTTAATGCTATGAATTTTCTCCAAAGTACTGCTTTAGTTCATCCCACATATTTTAATATATTTTCTTTTATAACATTTTTAAAAATTTATTTATTTTCTTAGAGATGGGGTCTTGCTATGTTGCCCAATTGATCTCAAACCCCTGGACTCAGGTGATCCTCCTACTTCAGCCTCCCAAAGTGCTAGGATTCCAGGCAGGATCCACCACACCTGGCCATATTTTGTTTTCATTTTTTCTCAACTCAAAATATTTTCTGACTTTCCTTGTGAAATTCATCCATTGGCTACTTAAATATAGTTTGTTTTGTGAAAGGAAATTAAATCTGGGGACCCAAACTCATTTAGCGAAAGGGAAATGTCAAGCTGAGAACTGGGTCACACAAAGCTGCCTCCCCACTTTGGTTGCTAAAGAAGATGGCTACAAGGTGAAAGGCTACCCACCTCCCCGTATTTTGCCCACAAGGAAATTCCTGGTGAGCTGTTAGAACTTCACCATAGCGATGCAAGTTGATAGCTTATCTTTGCAGGTGCAGTCACCCCAGCCAGCCAGACACAAATGCATATCTGATTGTGCCACTGCCCCATTGTGTCTGTGTTATCTTATGTAAAATGCAGATTCCCCACATTTTTCCTCTGCCCCTCCCCTTCCGCTTATATGAAAACTGTGTGTTCTCAATATCCCACCCTTTCTCCTTTACATTTGGAGCCCTCAAAATCATCTTCAGAAAAAGGCATAGATCTGTTTCTTGGGTGCATCCCTTGTCAATCATTGTCTTCAGTTGACATCTTCATCACCAAATATTTGCAGATTTTTCCTATATCTTTTGCTATTGATTTCTATTTGACAAAAATACAATTCGTATGATTTCAACTTTCTTAAATTTGGAGGAACTTGTTTTATGGTCCAAGATACAACCTCCCTTGCCGCATGTCCTGTGTGTTCTTAGAAAGAATGTGCAACCCAAGTTAGGTGGTTGATAGTTAATTGGTTGAGACAATGACCAAGCCTTCTATATCTTTATGTTCTGTCAACTTTTTCTTTGTTACTGAATGGGGAGAGTTGCAGTCTCTAGCTACAAGTGTGGAGTTACGCGGTTCTCCTTTCAGTTGTATCAGTGTCTGCTCCACGCATTATAAAACTGTGATTCATTGCATTCACAGATTCTCTTGATAAATTTATCCTTTTAAAAGAATGTGTATTTTGCTGTTACTGCATGGAATATTCTCTTATTTTTACATGTTTGAGAAGCATTTGCATTTTTTCTGTGAATAATTAAATCATATCCTTTGTTGAGTTCTTGGAGTTTTTCTATTAACTTGTAGGAGCTCTTTATATATTAAAAAAATTAGATATTGTTTGTGCTATTCAGTTGCTATAAATATAGTTTCGGTGTCGCAAAAGAAATAGCACTTGAATATAAAATTTTCTTTTTAATTCTCAGCAAGGCAATTTACTTCTATAGAAGGGTGTGCCCTTACAGATGGAGCAATGATGAGCACACACCTGGACAAGGG